TTACTGCGCAAAATAATAGGAAGGATCTAGGCAAAGTCCCCTTCTAACAGCACTAGAATACCTCTAAATAAGAAGTTGTTTTTTATAATATCTTATAGTGTATAGTTAACTGCTTTAAAGCAGTACTAGTGCTATATTAGGACTTTATCCTATATAATTAAATCTATCTAATAAATAAGGTCTGCAGCAGGAGAGTTTACACGCATAAAGTAAGTAGATTTATCTTTAATATTAATAAGTATCTTAAACTAATAATAAGCAGTGCAGCTGCTAGAAAGAAGAAGCATAGTAATGCTAGATAATACTATGCACAAAACAATCTTACGTTAAGTCTAAAAATAAGTGTAAATAGTCTTATATAAAAAGGTCTTTCTAGTTCTGCTAAAGCTTTAAATAAAGTAGTAACTAAATTATAGTGTAGTAAAAATAGACTAAGTAATAACATAAAAAACTTTTAGTTAGGCCTTATTTAGCTTATTATACATATTAGTATAATTAAGATTTTGCTTTATAGTGTTGTAATTAAGCTGCTTAGCAACTAATAGATTAATAGCCTTCTACACCTAATATCTCTATAGCATAGGCATGTTAAAATTAAAAAGGTTTTTTTTAAATAACTTAAGCATAGCCTAGTTAATTAGCTACAGGCATAAATCTTTTATAAAATTAGTAATGCTAGAGGGCAACACTATTTATTCTAAGTAAAGGGGCAGGTTGTTAGATAGATGTTAAAAGAACTTATTTTATAACACTATAAAATTACCTACATTTCTAAAGACTAGGGCCTAAAAAAAAATGTAACATAACTTAAAAGTAAGTGCTAAATGCTAAAGCTTAAGAAATATATACTACTATAATTTATTTTTAACTAAGAGATTAAAAGCTAAATAGGTGTTTTTAAAAGTAAGTTAGATTTAACTATTAACTATGTAAAAATGTTTAAAACTAATTATACCTAAAATTTGCATAAGAAGCATTTTAAGATAGAAACACTTCCTAAAGAAAAAACTACAGAAGTAGACATAACTAATAAAGTACTAATTATGTTAGAACTAAGTCTATTTACTACTATCTTTTCTTAGATTTTAATAATACTAGGTTAAAAAGTCCTAGTAAAGAAAATTACACTTATTTATATAAAAAGCATTATACTTTAACTATTTTATTAATAATAATCTTTTTTATTTAACTATAATCTTTACCTGTTTAGCACTATTCTTATTATAAAAGGTGACTATATGCTGTCTTAGTAAATGCACTGCTAATTAAATAATAAAAGGCTTTTTCTTATAAACTTTAAACTTTATTAATTACTAAACAGCCTTAGTTAGTCTAATATAGCGCATGTTTAGATACTAGGCAACTTTATTCTCTTACTAGATACAGATAACAACCTAATTAGTGCCTTTATAAATATACTTATGTATATATTTAACTAACTTTATAAAGGCACAGACTTTTATGTTAACATGTGCATTATACTTACATAAAAAGTATAGACTATAAGGCACTACTTAGTAATTATTAACTATAATATTTTAACTATAACACTTTATAACCTAAGTTAAACTAAGTTAATGCTAATATATAAAATAACTATCTCTACTAACTAAAGTCTTATTAGTGTATTTCTTTAGAAATTACTTCTAACAGGTTACTTAGAGAGAACGCTTTATAGTCTGCATATAGGGCATGCTAGGATTTAAGGTTTTATATAGCCTATAAACTATAGTAGTTTTAATAATATTACTTAAAACTTTATTTAGATCTTAAGCCTTTATAAAAAGCTTAGCCTATATAACTTAATTAATAAAGTTTAGATTAAGGAACTAATTATAGTAATTATAATATAAAAAAAGTAAAATGTAAGCATAAAGTAAACTCTGCTTCTAGTACTTAATAGTATACATAATACTAGTATACTAGCTAAATACATAGTTAGTCTAGAGGTCTGTAAGAAGGGAGTTAAAACATAGCTTAAAAACACGCGCAACTAGATCTAGCTAATCTAATAGCTAAAAGGACATACTAATCTCCTGCTCTAACTCTAGCTATTTAGGATTAGTAGTAAAAGTAATAAATAAAGCAGGTTAACTAAGCTTTTAAATAATAGCTATAAAGTCTTAATAACACTACATAATAAAGTAACTACTACTAATGTAACTTAAAAAAAAATAGTTTAAATTTTAACTAAATTAGCCTAAAAGTTATTTTAATTTAATGTATTATGCACTTTTTAATATAAATTAGCATGTAACTGTCTCTAATTTGCTGTAATCTACTATAACTTCCTCTGTTTACACTAAGCCTAGCAGTTAATAACAAATTACTAGAATAATAGACTATAATTAAAAGGCATAATAAAACTACTACACTAAGAAAATAGGTAGAATTAGTAATACTTAGAATTAGTTAGAGTATCCTAGGTGCAAGACATGCGTGAAGTACGCAGCTATAAACTATAGTAAAACCTAAGAGTACTCTATAAAAACATTAAAACATAGTAAAGAGGCTAATATACTATATGTGTATGTTTAATCTTTTAGTATAAAAACTAATAGTGTCTTAAATTAGAGCTAAGTTAGTAGTAAAAAATAAGATTTTAGTTATAATCTTTAACTAGCTTATTATAGACTAGAGTAGTAATTTTTTTAGTAATAAGTAAGTTTTCTTAATATTAATTAGCCCTAGCCTACATAATTAACTATAGTTATAAATTAAAAGTAATTTATAATTTTTTATTTTACTTATAAGCTTACTGCAACTACTTATGTGCAGTTTTATATATTTTAATTTAAGAATTATTATAATCTGTCTTAACTATCTATAGTAGCTGCGTAAGTATAGTTAGATTAAAACTACTATTAGCCTAATGCTCTATACACGCACTGTTAGCCTAGGCAGGATTGTAAAAGTATAGCTGTGTGTAAGAGAGAATGTCCCTCTTAGTAAGCTTTAATAAGCTGTGCATATAGTACATCTCTTTTATAATTTAAAAAACTTTTACACTTATACTACACACACTTTAATTTATTTATTTATAGTTAGCTAATGTAAAAGCTAAAGCTGTGTTATATAATTAAAAATGCTTTTAAAAGAATCTGCTAAGTAAGTGCTTACTTTATAAAAGATAATATAAAAATAAAAGTAGATCTAGAAAAGTTAAAAGGTTAATATTACTTATTAAGCAACATATAAAGTACTAAGAAGAATCTGCCTAACTTTTATTAACTTACTTTTTAAGCTAGTAAAAGGCACTACAGTTAAGATAGCTACTTATAAAATTCTATATTAGACTAAAGTTAATAAAAGTAATATAGTTTATAGTAGTAATAATATATGCTTTTAGTAAATTATTTTATAAAAGACTAGCCTTTAGTTACTTCTAATCTCTACACATAAATAGGGATAAGGCAGGCTAATCTAAAGTGTGTTAAAAGAGTAAAAATTAGACAAGTCTTTATAAAGTTAGCTATATATTATAATAATGTATATATATAAACAGTGTAAAAGGAGTAAAAGTTAGCGTAAAAAACTTAAAAAAAGTTAATTATATATTATAATAAATCTAGATAGATAGCGTAGGAGAAGTAAAAAAAAGCATAAAAGTTTTAAAAAAGTCTTAATATATATAAAATAATTAATTAAGCACTAGCGTTCTGCTTAATGCAGTGTTACGCCTAGCATGTGCAGGTTAGCCCTAGCATAGACCTAATTAGACTATAGTAGCGCAAGCACAAACACGTTTTAAGGGTTATGCATTAGAGTTAACATTAGCTAATAGCTAACACGCTTAGATAAAACTAGATATAAGCGCTAAAAAATATAATAATTATAATAAAGTAACATACTACATAGCTATGTCTATTACACTAGTAATAAGAAGCTTTAACTTTATTAGTAGGAAAGTTAGAGAGAGGTCTATAGTTATTATAGACTAGGCAGAAAGTAAGCAATAAGTCTATATAGTAATAATATAAAAAGATAACACTATATAATAAAAAAAAAAGGACAGGTTAAGAAAGAAAAGTACTAATTAAAAAAAGTTAAAGTAAATTAGAGATAAATTAACTTTAAGTAAATTAAAATCCTGCTTATTAAAATAAAGCGTAGTAAAGCTTATACTACACTAAATAAATTTATTTTTTTAAAGTTTTTAAAAGTATAACTTTTTTTAAAACAGCATTCTTATTAAGTTTAAAAAAGGACTTAATTAAGCTAAAAACTTCTAAAAAAAATTTTATATAAAAAAAAATTTAAGCTATTTAAACTTATTATTCTAAGTAATAAAACACTTTTAAGCTCTTACCTCTTATGTAATAGTTTATAGTATGTAAATATGCTCTTAATTTTAATATAATTAGTATAGCTTTATAGCTTAAAGAAAAAAAGAAACAGTTAAAAGTGTTTTATATTAGGCTAATATTATATTAAGTGTAATCTTAAGGCCTTTATAATTCTTTATAAAGGTTAGTAGATAATGTAAAATAACTTAATACACTTACATATATTATAAATAGCTATAATATAGTAGCTTACTATAACTTATTATTATTATAAAGTAAAGTTAACTAAGGCTGTAAAGGTATTAAAGCAGATAATGTCTAGTTAGAAAAGATTAGAATAGGTTAAAGTAGATGTAAAGCTAAAGCCTAAAGTCACACTACTGTTTTGCTTAACTAGGGGGAGATTCTCTAGAACCCCCTTTTTGCCTGTAGTAGGCTTTGCTTAGAAGGTCTTAGTAAAGCTAATTACATTTAGTAGAAAAAATTACACTATAGAAGTAATTTTTACACCCCTAACTATGCAGTAGTTAATTATAATAGAAAAAAAAGAAGACTAGATTAAGCATGTAGCATAGCAGAATAATTACTTAAAGCTTAAAAATAAACAGTAACCTAGCTTTTTAGTTACTAATTTTCTACTAATTAAATTAATAGCCGGCTTATATCCGGACCAATAGGAGAGAGGGCTTGGCGGTAGAGATAGTGTAATATTTGATGATTGATGATGCAACACCGCTGTCACTTCGGACGAGACTACTAGGCAGAGCTGATAAGCCCAGGCTGCGTTAGACTCCGTCTAACACGCTGGGGATGGAGTGTAAACATACACAAGGATTCAAGAATAGGCAAGCTGGACGCAAACCTTCTAAAGTGCAGACAGTGAAGAACGCCTCACATTCAATTTCAGTACTGTTCGCAAATACAAAGCAGTACAAATTAGAGAGCGGCAATAAGGATAATCTTGCAGTACTTGCACCTAAAAACTTGGAACTCACAGTCTTTAGACTCTGGGACAAGATGCAGGAGCCAGTGTTTTAAAAAGCAGCAGCTAGGCTCTATACCACCGCACCGAACTTAGAGGTCTAGTCGCTAGCATTGTCTCGCTACTCAACATTGAAAAGACTTTCCCTGCTCCTAAGGCGTAAGTTACCCTCGTTAAGTAGGAAACAGCAGAGATTTAGGATAGACAAGCCCCGGAGCTTGTAGAGAGCGCTGTTATAGCGTGGACAGTTTGTTGCTAGCTGCAAAAGAAGCCCTTACAGGGCACTAATACTAAAATCTTGTGATTAAAGGGAGGGCACAAATTAGCGATGCATTTAATAGTGACAAGGAGGGTGAAGTAAAGGGGGCATCTTTTAAATATAATAGTGTAATGGTTGACGAGACTAGGAAAGCACTTATTATAACCAAGTATAGTAGGAAAGATATCTAGGATGATTAGGCTTTGCGTTCCTCTACTATTAGCTAATTCACTCCTCTTTTGTCACATCAGCCTAGTTACTGTGTGTGCGGCTAAACCAGAAAGTGTACTAAATCACACTGCTTCTTAGTGCAGGCAATAATGCCAACGCTGCACGACCAGAATGGATCGTAGGTTCGTCCAGAAGCTCCATGATGGATTCTTTGTTGGAAAACAGGTTGCGTGGGCGCGATTTTGAGTCTTTGTAGCTGTACATTAATAAACAAAATGCATACTTAAAACATACTTAAAACATACTTAAAGGCACATATAACTGCGCGGTGGGACCATTTCACACTTCAAGCGTGGCTAGAATGAAGTTTTCTGCTGGGCTTAGGCGGAAGCCGAATTCGCTAGTGGCCGTGCAAAATCCGACACTATCTTTTCCAATATTCTCAGTCAGCTTTGCATTTTTATCGAAACTTCGTGTCTCGGCTCCCGGCACGGATGCGGATTAGCTGAACTGGAAGACTGCTCGTGAAGCGAGTCAGAGGGTCCAGTACGTGCATACGAAAGCTACTAGTTTCTGTCGTATAGAGTGGAGTAGGGTGGGAAGTGGGGAGGAAGATTTTATAAGTGGGTTGGAGTGGATTTGGAGTGGATTTGGGTTTGGGATGATGTTGTGTGGCGCGGGAATGCTGTATAAGCTTACAGTGTGATTGGACTGTCAAGGAACAAAGTCGGCCGAGGACACGAAGAGGGCACTTTGCTCACATTCATTGATATGTATTATTGATGTACACAGTACCCTATTCTGTGTCTAGAATGTAGAGTAGCTTGATGAATATTTTCCTCCCACATGTTGCAGATTGCTTGTCCAACGGTCGGGTAGGTAGAACCTAGGCATCTAGGAAGCTAGTTACTCAAGATATCGCAAGCCTCGGCTGAGGCTCTTTGCACTACTTGAAGTTGTTCCACTCATCGCGGAAACATGGTATCATGTGCATACCCGTTGCCTTTTAATCCTAGACTTACTTGGAAGGTATACAGACTCCTTGCTTTCTGTACCACTATCCGATGGAAGACCTTAGAGGCGAAATTGTGACACCCGAGAGCCGTCGGAGGCTGCTGGTTGATGTTGGTCTCACCATTTTTGGACTTAAATCTTAGGGTATTGTCGTACATGACGTACTGATACCGACTGAGACATAGAGCAATATTTTCTGACGTCAAGCCTCAGGCTCTCACACATTGCGTTAAAAAGGAATAGCCAGACATCTCCCGCCCAAACAAAAGTCTTGGAAAAGTCTTGGAAAAGTCTTGGAAAGGACTTGGAAAAGGGACCCAGGACACGTCGTCTCCAAGACCTTGGTACGCTTGAGTTCGCTTGACAGTCTTACATTGTCTGTGTCTGGTAGCGATACGAGACAGAACAAGTCTTGAGGAACAAAGTAATTTTGCCTACTAAACTCATGCGCGGAGGGTTTGAAACCTTGAAACTGAGGCAGGGTGGTATGGCAGCTCAGGTGATGTTGCTGTGGCATGACTGAGGCATGAGTTGTCCTGTGACGCTTTCTCCGGCCAAGCCTGACGCTGAGAAAGAATGCCATGTGAGAGCAGGGCAGGCTGGCTTAGATAATTGATTGTGGAGGCCTTGTCTGCATGAAGAGTGTCGCCCTGAAGACGAACGTTAAGAAAAAGCTTAAAGTGACGGCAGCGAAGACAGGCGGGTTGATGTATCAGATTAATTGAGAAACGGTAGGCCCCGCATCACTGGGCGCATGAACTTGATTGCGACGCGTTGAACACCAGCTTTTTGAGCGGAATTTTTTTTTTGGAAGATGACCAAGGCTCCAGGAAACACGGGAAGCCTGCCTTTCTCGCTCTCTATTTATGCAATCTGATGCTGCAAGATTGACAACGATTAATTCAGTGAGGCTTACTGAAGATTGGGAGGATCGGAAGCTATGCAGCCGAGTAGATGAGCTATGGTAATTCCACATGCGGCTCGATATTGCTTTGGTCGATTGTGTCCTTATGGGAATGGTAGATATTGCTCTTCACCCTCCTCAACAGAAGGCTGTAGGGCAGACTGGCTGCAGTTCTTGACGTCGCAGAAATGCATGGGTGACCCGTCACGGAATGGGGTTGGCGGCGGACGGCGATTTGGAACGACGCGGCGCCTTCCACTGTTCCAGCCCTGTGAGGATGATGAGTGGTGGGCTCGAGAGTGGAGAGGACGGGATTTAGTTGCTGAATGATTCCAGAATCACTAGTGATGGTGGACAGATGTTTAGTCAATGCGAATGCGGCAGGTCCTTGGGCTATGACTTCGTAGAATGCACCCCAAAGATATGGATATGGATGGTGTGAGAGATACGGGGGAAGGAAACGTAAGCCTTTCGTATCTACTCCAGTTTATTTACCAGTCAATTGGCTGTGGGCGCCTCTTGCAAAAGCAGCGCAAAGACGCTGGTCGTCGGCGGAATTCCTGTCGAGGGCGACATGCGCTCAGCATTTAGGTCGTAGGTGGCGGGGGCTTTTGGATGTATTTTTGTCTTTCCTGGACGATGCGAATGCCACCAGCGCATCTTAGCCATTGGAAAGATTGCGCCATGACGAGCCAGGCACCCTAGTCCAGAAGCAGCACGCCGCCGGGAGAGCGCACTGTGTTTCAGGATGCAGAATGCCGAGTGGCTGCAGCTGCGCGGACGACGGATGACCATGGTCTTCCTCTGGAGCTTGAACTTCGTTGGGAACGGACAAAAGAGGTAGTCCTGAGATGTACAAGCAGCGCCAGAGCACGGGCTGGCAAGGCCACGTAGCAGCAGAAGCATAAAGAGGCCCAGACAGACTCTCGGAAAGGCATTCGCGGCATTGGGTGCAGCACACTCGCGATCGAATCATGGCCCGTTGCAACGGGATTCGCCAGAGGTGTGGCGCTGCTTTCACGCCGTCGTAAACGCGTGGCCCCTTCAGCTATCTTTGCTAGCCTCTTTGAAGAGGCCCGAGGAGTGCGCTGATATTAATACTAGCTGAGAATAGAATATGTGATCGTTTTCGGCCTCCACAAACACATCAAGACGCAGGTCATTCTTCTCCCCTGAATGACAGATCATCGACTTCTAACTTGCATCTCCCACGGCTCTGAGAGAACGCTCCTCGGCGGCGCCGCGAATGATCGACGCCTCTGATTCCTAGCGCCCACTCTTGAAACCGCAGCTTACCCTAAAGGTTCACGACTCTCTGGAGCCGCGACCCACGCCCCAAGAATTCCTCCGCCAACTGATCTCCAGCTTTTTGCAAACCAACGCCACTCGTTTTCTGTCGTTGCTCCGACCTTTGCAGGGCAGGGTTCATTTCCACATCCGACTGGCCGCCCTTGCTGAAACCGCTTAGCTTCCATGGTTGTACGACCCTGTGAGTGCGGCTGTTGATAAGGTACACACTGCCCAAAACAGGGTCCCCTTCTGCGCACCGACCGAAATACTTGTGGCAGGGGCAGCTACAGGAAATCATATACCTTCCCCCCCCCCCCCCCCCCAAATCGCTCTGCAGTGCTCTCTCTCCCCAGTCTTGCCCATCCTCTCGGCCTCTTTGACTGGCCCTCCCTCTCCTTTCCCCTCGGTCTCTCCTCCACGCCGGCAGCTGGCCAGCGCCCAGCGACGATGCTCACCTTCCGCAAAGCCCTGGTGCTCTCCCTCGCCCTCCTATCGTTCTTCTTCATATTCCGATCACATCATTCGACCACCCAGCCCTCTCCTATCCGCAATGCCGATGACCTCCCTAAACCCGCCTCCCTCATGAAGCCGAAGCCTGGTGCCCAGCAGCCCGCGAAGCAGGAACCAACCCAGCCCGCGAAGCCGGATAGTACGGATGCAAAGTGGAAAGAGCCCGATTCTCCGATCAAGAAGCCCAAGACGCAAATCAGCATGGACGAGCTGAGGAAGCGGCCGTTGAAGCAGCAGCTGGAGTACCAGTTCCCCTATGACGTCGAGGCAAAGTTTCCGGCGTACATTTGGCAGACGTGGAAGTACACACCCAGTCAAGGTGAATTCGACGAGGTGTTTCGCGAGGCTGAGGCTAGCTGGACGATCCTCCACCCTACGTTCGTCCATGAAGTCATCACTGACCAGGTCGCCGTGCACCTGATTCGACACCTCTACGCCTCGGTCCCTGAAGTCATGGAAGCCTACAATGCACTTCCTCTGCCCGTCCTCAAAGCCGACTTCTTCCGCTACCTGATCCTGCTCGCTCGGGGAGGCATCTACTCTGACATCGACACGGCAGCTCTCAAGAGCGCTGCAGACTGGATCCCTCAGGAGGTTCCTAGCAAGTCGTACGGCATGGTCATTGGCATCGAAGCCGATCCCGACCGGTCTGATTGGGCTCTCTGGTACTCGCGTCGTATTCAATTTTGCCAATGGACCATTCAATCCAAGCCCGGCCACCCAATCCTTGTGGACGTCGTCGCAAACATCACCCAGGAAACCCTGAAGCGGAAAGCCGAGGGCCGTCTGAGCAAGGACCACAAAGGTATCATTGAATTCACTGGTCCCGCGCTGTGGACCGACAGTATCTTCGATTTCTTCAACAACCCTGATTACTTCGACATGAGCACAAGCAAGGGCAATATCACCTGGCAGCACTTCACCGGCATGAAAAACCCCAAAAAAGTCGGCGATGTGATTATCCTCCCCATTACAAGTTTCAGCCCTGGGATCAAGACAATGAATGCAGGCGAGGAGGACGACCCGATGGCGTTCGTGAAGCACAACTTTGAAGGTTTGTACCCTTTCCCCTTCCCCCCCGCCATTACAATTCTCTGCCTTGAACTCGAGCCGAGGTGCACAAGCTAGATGGCAGGAATAGTGGTTCCACGTTACGCTGTGCTTGTGTCACCGTAACACATCATCCACTTGCACGGAGCCGACGTTTCCTCGATGTCAATCACTCACCCGAATAGCAACATTTATGGATACTAACTTTTTCCGCAGGGACCTGGAAACCGGAAGAGTTGCGCCACATCGGCGAAGTCTTCACATGAGTGAGCGGCGCACAGCGCGGATAAAATGCAACGTATACGGCCGACTGATCGATTCATACGCATAAAAAACTGGAAGGGTGGCACACTTCTCTTGTACATGTTTGATCCTTTAATCGCAAAAATAATAGACTGGTTGGGTTTGGTAGGCCGGACTGGCATGGGAATCGGCTTCTGTTTTGGCGAAGGGAAAGAGCATGGCCTACGCCTAACTCACCAAGTCTACGGCATAGACCTCGGCCATCACTTCTCTCCGCGAAACCCTGTTAATTCTTTACCTATGGTCCATCATGTGGAATTCGGCCCAAACACACACACACACACACAAAAGCAGGAATGGATATTGGCGTTACCCAACATGCCCTCTCTTCAACTTCAAGCGCTGAAGTTTAGAAGGGATTCTCTTTGGCGGCTGCTCGTCGGATGGTTTGGATCTTCAACTTTTATACTAGACGGTTCGTATGTACGACCATAGGCTTGGCAGGAATAGCAAACAAGCGCAAGTGGGGTATCACACGACTTTGGTGACTTTCAGAGGCTTGTTTGTTTGTGTTTGGAGTTATGGATGGGAGCGTGGAGTTTGGTGCTTGGGACTTCGTACTTTGACCCTCGAACCGACAAATACATCACCTCATTAACTTCAATGTTCGCGATGAAGGACATTTAAAAGTGAAGTGGGGTGGGTTGCTTGATTTTTGAATATGCTGACATGCCATTCATAGATTGCAATGCGGCCTATTGGTGGGTATATCTCAAAACACAGTCTTGGGCCAGAATGCTCCTCCAGCGGAGATAATGCTATAAAATCGAAAAGGATTCAAAACGCCTCATTCCCTCCAAGGAAGAGAAATCTTTGGATCTCTGATATCCATCATGGACCCGGAAACGCAATGACAAATTAACAAATACAAATATTAACACAACTTCGAATATTCTTGATGTTCAATCACGAATAATCCCCAAAATCGTATTCCGTCGCTCTTCTTTCGAAATGGCATCGATTCATATACAGATGAGGAAGTTTTCAAATCACCGTCGTCGCCCAGTCAGAGCTCCCCATACCATATCCCACATCAGCACCAATGTGTCTCCCAATGTCGGCCTACGGTCGACCCCCCGTTCCTTATCATCGTGATGATGAGAGTGGTGTGAGTGCGTAGTGTGGTGAGAATGATGCGACGAGCGCCGTGGGTACGGCGGATGGTCCTCTTGTTGCACATCATGGAAGTGGGAGTGCTGTGGATGAGGGATCATCGGGCCTGGTGGCTGTTGTGAGGTCGTCCGATAGTGGGGCTCGTAGGATGTGGGCTGGCCGTACGCAGACATGGTGCCGTAGGAGATGTTGTGTTGGCCGTGATTACCGTGGCTGCTGTAGGAGCTGGAGGACGTCGGGCGGTGATGGGCAGTGTGTGAGTTCGAGGAATTATAGATGTGCTGTGGGTGAGAGTGCGACGATGTGGGCCGCGAGTGTGAGGATGGGTGGGGATACGATGCTCCTCTTAACGGCGCCAATACTGATCGTTATTTCCTCGATTTCGATTATTCCAAGGTTGTCGAGTCGTTGAAGATTTGTTTAAAATCTGCTGTGAGGGGTTTTCGGCCCCCTGATGATGTTGTGCGATATTATGTATGTTTGTGTGCAAGTCTGGTTGGCGTTGTTTGTCGTTACGCAATAAGACTGATATCCATGTCAGGTGTGGATTAGGTTCCGTAGGTAGCAAACTCTGTATCTCTTCCTCGACAGATAGATCGCAGGGTTTATGTAGATAAAACCTAGGGAATCAAACGGTGAGAAATATAGGCTTAGAAAGATTCAGCGACGAGTGCGTGGACAACTCTAGGTGACTCCATATGGCGAGAACACTTGAAAGCATGGGACGATATATAATCACCACATATCACGAGCCCTTCGACTCAGCCTTAACCGACCGAGAATCGTGACACGCAATGACGAACCACCCAATCAGCAGACCTTCTCGGATAGGAAATGTATTAGGAAGATTTGCTTCCGGTGAACGAATTGCACATGAGTCAAAGCGGGCCTGGGGTTACTAAGGAAGAGGCTTTGAGGAGGATCAATAGGGGAGTCGAGCACAGTGAACGCATGTGGCATGGGAATGATGTAAGAGGGGTGGTGGAGGCTTGGCGGAATTGGCAGGGTGGACAGAGGCGGAACGCTTGCAACACAGGACAGGGGTATGTTGTGTGGTGCCTGGAGTAAGGCTTTCCAGATGGTGGGGTGCAGGACGATGCTGTTGGGTGACACGGTGGGAGAAATCTGATGAAGGTTGGAATATCAAAGCGGCTAGTGAAGATTTCAGGTGTGGCGAATAAGGGATTCGGTCAGCGATATGAAGCAATTCGGAACGGCCTCCTGGAGGCAGCCTCGGAGAAGTGATGGGAACTCATGGATAGAAGGGGAAGAGCTCTCTGAGGCTGTACCACGTTGACTTGCCTCGGTAAGATGCAGGATTATGTAAGCGAAGGTATTTCAAAGACCAGGAGCGAAACCAACAGCATCCTTGGAACCCTTGGCTTTACAAAACCTTTACACCGTGCCGCGGGAACAGTAGGTTGCAACCCGTTCAATTGATAGATAGGACATACCGTTAAAGGCTTTTTAGCAGCGTTCAGAGGTGTTCCTGACGCGACGGCCCTGATTTTGTAGGGCTCGTCGCCCAATCCTTGTGGATATCCACCTCCATTCGACCCAGTTCAAAAAGGCTCCAAGCCGGTGTTCTTAGTCTAGGGAAACGCGATGCGGGCCTCGAAAGCACTACGTGTGCTCGCGATTCTGCGGAACATGCGACCTAATCGGTCTGTGGTTAATGGAAGTGGGCCTTTGTCGAGAGTAGCATTACACTACATTGGTATTGCAGATATATGGAGACACTGGCTCAGTGTGCGGGGGGCCATTGAGAGCGGCCCACAATTTGCACTGATGCCGGAGACACCAGGTGTCAAGTCTCACTTTGATATGGGATATACTCTTTATTCCTCTGAGAGAGATCGAAAACTGAAAACCCGATTGGACGAACACCGGCGAAGGAACATGGCGCGAAAGACGGCAAAAGACACCGACGACCCAATCCTTGGCTTCCTGGAGGGCTTCGCCAAGCGTATGCGCGCGAGACATTCAGCCAACGTGAAAGGTCAATCCCGCGCCCAAAAGGGGTTGGAGGAAGAGGTAGAAACAGCACGCAGACGGTTGGAAGAGATCCCAGAGGGTCGGTGGGTACGTGCTTACTGGAGGTTCGTGCTGAGTACTGGAGAATTCCTTCTAAACCGTGGGAAACGGGCTGAACGAAGAGGGGAGGAGAAGTTGAGAAGGTCAGCAGAGCGCATGCAACGTATGAAGTCTGGGCTTGAAAAGGAGAAGGCCGAGATTGAGATGAGTGAACGATTGGAAGAAGTTTTGCAAGATTTCAACCTGAGAATGTCTTCCCTTGAAAACAAAGGATCTGGAACTGAGACAAACAAACAAATGGAAACCCTTTTACGCTATTTCAAAGCGAGGATAACTGCGCTTAAAAAGGATGGGACTGCAACTAAGACGAGAAAGCGGGTGGAGGAGATTTCGCAAGATATTGAACAGTGGTTACATGAGCTGCGGAAGGAGGGAAATGGGAACGAGAAGTCGACAGGGAAGTATGAGTGGGCTAAGCAGAGGTCGAGGGCGGGTCTGAAGCAGAGGGGAAGCTGAATGGAAGGAGTCTCAAGATGCTGATACTGGGAGCAACGGCTTTTGTTTGATATTTGGAGCTCAAGGGACGAGTGTAAAATAATCATCTCCTCAGCATATACGTACTTGAGTATAACTATCTGCCAGGTAAATTTACACTACCCGCGAGCCCATTTGAGCCCTTCCAACCCTTGAACTGTTGTTATGGAAGGCCGAATCGACGTGCCCCCAGTGTGATGCGTTATGATTGGAGCATCATAGCGGCGTGGCTGTGGCGGGTTGCTCACCGCCACCGGGCCTCTTAGGCATCAATTGTCCACCTTCTCGATCCGTAGTGTCCATGGCGACATGCAGCTGGGCATGCACACATGATCTAGGGAACCAAGAGCGCCTGGGCAGGGTGGCGCGTCGAATCACCATCATGAACAGTAATTGTCAGTCCAGACAATCGAAGCAAAGCCAGCCAAGCCCTATAGCTGCCTGTCGTCATTCCAGGGTTGGCACTCACCCCACTAAATGAGGGGCTGAGTCCCTTGGAGTGAGCGCCTAAGCACAATTGCTCAGCCTTCACGTTTCCCAACTCTGATTTCTTTATTTCTTGTGCCTCCAACTTTTTTCTTCGCAAGACCCCTCTGTCACCATCCCCATTTCGCGCAAGACCGCTTAGTATTCTTCTTCTCCAATTGTCGCGCCAGCCCCCGGTCACCGCGCGATACTAATCTAACTCCATCGCCGCACTTCCGGCTTACTGAGACCACTTCCCAGAAATGGCGTACTACCCAGGACAGCAACAGGGCGGTTATCCGCCATATCAAGGCCGTAAGCATTTCCCTCCATCCCACAGCTCCTTGCCTCAAACTGAGAATCCATACAAAGAGTCGCCAGTTCCTCCCCAAGGCTACCAACAACCTCCCCCGAACCAGTACCCTCCCCCACCACAAGGTTACGGACAACCTCCAATGCAGAACCAACAGTATCCCCCACAGGGCTATCCCCCCCAGCAAGGCTATCCACCTCAACAACAGCCGCCATATAATCCCCCTCCTCCCGGCCAATACCCCCAGCAGGGCTATGGCGCACCACCGCCTGCGCAACCGTACGGCGCACCGCCCGGCCAATACGGTGCACCACCACCTGCTCAGCCGTACGGTGCACCTCCAGGCCAGTATGGAGCTCCTCCACCTGTGCAGCCATATGGCGCGCCGCCCGGCCAATATGGAGCCCCTCCCCCACAGCCATATGGAGCCCCTCCCCCCCAGCAATATGGAGCCCCTCCTCAGGGCCAGTATGGCGCTGCTGCAGGCCACCCAACCCCGCCATCGGTCGGCTACATCCCCAACCAGACCGTGCCGATGGACGTCAGAGCCGAAGTTGAAGGTCTACACAAGGCAATGAAGGGCTTTGGTACCAATGAGAAGGAACTAATCCAGATATTGGCCAAGAAAGATCCCATCCAGATCAACGCTATCCGCCTTGGGTTCAACCAGCGCTTCATGAAGGATCTCATCAAAGAGATCGAGCGCGAGACGTCAGGATACTTTGAGAAAGGTCTTGTGGCGATTATAAGGGGGCCGTTAACTAGTGATGCATATGCACTGTACGACGCAATGAAGGGTCTTGGGACCAAAGAGTCGGTACTAAATGACGTCCTCTGCTGTAGAAGCAACGCCGATATCAACGCCATCAAAGCCGAGTATCATCACCGTTTCCAGAAATCGCTCGAGTCTGATATTCGAGGGGACCTCTCAGCCGGAACAGAGCAGATGTTCGTCATGATACTTTCCGCACGCCGCAATGAAGAATCCGCACCCATTGTCCCACAAATGATCGACCAGGATGTCTCTGAGCTCCAGCGCGCTATTGGCAGCATGATTGGGAAGGACTCGACTCAAACGTGCCAGTTACTGACGAGCAGGAGCGATGCACAAATTCGTGCCATCTCCCAGGCTTATCAGCAAAAGTTTCGCAAGAGCCTAGAGAGCGTCATCAAGTCCAAGTTTTCTGGACACATGGAAGACGCACTACTCCTCATTGTTGCACGTGCCAACAACCGTGCTGCGAGCGATGCCGTGCAACTCGAAGATTCAATGGCTGGCATCGGAACAAAGGATGAGCTGCTAGTTCAGAGAGTCGTCCGCGCCCATTGGAACCGACAGCACATGCAGGCAGTGCGTGCCGAATACCAGAAGAAGTACAAGAGAGATTTGGTTAGCAGGATAAAGGGCGAGACGAGAGGGGACTACGAGAGGTTGATGGTTGCTTGTGTTGAGTAAGAGCACTTGCATTTCCTTTGTTGTTCTATCTGTTCTGTCTGGATATCACTTTGCAATGTATTCTAAGTCTCCTTTTATATGGTAGTTGGGTCGCCGAACTAGACTAGTTCATTCGGATCCGCAGTTGAGGCATTTTATGCAGGGATGGGTACCAGAGAAGGGCTGCTAAGGATCGCAATCTTCGAGTCTTGCGGAAATGGAAGACAAAATATATCTTATCTTCACTTACCCATCCCAATTTCTGGTTTTGCTAATCTTGCTTCTTAGCTATTCCGTCTTGTCTATCGGACACCCGCCATTGCAGCATGATAGGGGGACTAGTAATGGAATCGTCGACACGATCAAGAATAAATGGAGGGCTTGCTGAAGCAGCTCTAATTTCATTCAGCCATTATGCCACCTGAGCATGACTTTGCTTTTGCTACCTCTTATTTTTTTAACAACCTTTTTCAAGTTCCTTTACCAATTTGCATTGCCTTTTGAAGCTAGATATCGATGTTGTCCGAAGAAGGTGAAGAAATGCGCCTTCTGCAACCCTCGCCTTTGATAGCTCTGTTACAATATCGTTTCTTAATATGGTCTTGTTTGCTTGGTAATCCATCACTAGAGCCTCTGGAGTCTTTTAATACGGGACTTCATTTTAAACGAGCGGCTTTATTGGACTAGGCGGGTAGGCGCCTTACATATGACCCATTCCCCCGACCTTGAAAGGTCGGGACTTTAATAGCTCTGGTCATTTCGCTTCATGTCTACTTTGAGTTGGCTATTTTGGTAAAGAATGCCTAAGTCCTTCCACAGGTCTAGAGTCCGTCAATCGAAATATAGGCAGTCCTTTCTATTGGGATACCTCGCACTCTCTTTGATAAACCGGAATTTACTAATGTCTACACAATTCAAATCATGAACGCTTCCTCCTGCTATGAAAACTGCCTCGGACTCCCGGATACCAAAAAGAAGCTAAGGAGCTATCTGGTAAAATGGAACCTCAGAAAGCATCGAACCCTGTTCTAGGCGTCTCCTTTTCCTAGCTAATAACACCGATCATCCACAAGGTCAGTGGAATCCACTGCCCTTCTAGTTTGTCTGGGACCGGGCTTAGAGATGTGGTTTCTGATGGGGATAGTCGGCGGAGCACTACCCAGACCTGATAGTGGAACAGTGTGTCCAACCGTTAGTACACCTAATAGTACAGTACTGCAGTACACTGATTTTAGTCACGTACGCACGTACAGGGCATCTACTTAGTATACTGTACTATACATAAGGCTACTGTACTAACTGTTTACAGTAGTTATATAGAATTTTTAGTAGTTTTAAGCAGTTAAAGGCAGGTTACTAAGGGCTAAAAAGCTTATGTTTAAAGATTAATGTAAAAAATGCTATTATTACTTGTTTTATTAGCAATTTTTTAATAAATTTAGCAACTATGCTATCTACATTATTTTTTTACTTATTCTAATGTTTTAATTTCTATCTTAATTAATAACATAGTTATTTTAGTGTGTTACTACTTTATAAGCTTTATCTTTATGTTACAATCCTTGCTTCGAGAAGCACTCGGGTCTTATGGTATTCCTAGGGGAAGGTAGGACGGATAGTAGGGGCCAATCCGGTAGGGTGTACAGTCCTACGTACAGGCTAATGGGCTAATGGAGGGTTCTTTGGGTGACTGGATCGTGGTTTGCCCTGTGTGCGGCAGTAGGGAGGCTGGGGTCAAACAGTCCTGTTAGACAGGATTAGAGAAATATATAGTGCAGAATATTTAAATAGTATTACAGCTCTTTAAAAAGCTAAACACTACTTAGTCTATGTAAAAAATAAACTAAACATTAAATACACCTTCTAAAGGCTATTCTATAAGGGAGTTATATATAAGTAAGAGGGTTACTAAGGCAAGTTTAGATAAGTTTAGATAAGCTTTATAAATTAGCTTTACTACTAACTTATAAGGCTTACTAGGACTTACTAAGCTTTTTTAGGCCTTATGTTGCGTGTTTTTATTAAACAACGCACTTCTTAGGCAGCTATGCTGCTTCTGTAACCTCTAATTAATTTATAAGCAAGCCCTGTTCTAATTTAGCTAGATTGTAGAGCACTGCTAGTAGAGTTACGCTAGTCTAACTGTAGACTATAACACGCTGCCCCCTCTCCCTAGCGGCGTCCTTACTGCTCTGCTTACACAACTGTGTTAGTAAAAGTTTGTTTATAAAGTAAGTGTTCTCTTACTAAAAGGCATTTTTAATATTTATTTTTTTTATACTAAATAGCTTATTAGTCTTACTTGTCTTATTATTTTTACATTACTTTTTATTTTAATCCTTTTTACTAGATAAAGATAAGGCCTTATAGCGCTTACTAATTTTTAGAGTTATTATGTGTGTTAACACTATCCTTAGACAGGTGCATTAAATGTGTAAAAAAAAATAATAAGTGCAATGCCTTTATATCTAACACTGCGTAGAAGCGCTTAGAGAGGGAGAGAGAGAAGCTTCTATATTCTACTAAGGCCTCTTAGGCTAAAAATTATGTGTTATTAGATAAATAGCTAGTTTAGAATTATAAGCAACTTTACTTATAAGAAGAGATGTTAAAGCAGAGTTAAAAGACTCTAAAAGTAAAAGATAAAAAGTGTTTTAAATAAAATTATATTTAAAAGTTATTAGACTTATTAGAAGCTTAGCATATAAAGTACTTAAAAAAAAATCTCTTTTTCTTAGACAAGATAAAAGCTTTTAAGGCTAAAGTAAAAAGCTGTTTTTTTTTACAACTTTTATTAGCTAAGACTTGTCTCTAAAAGCTACTACTATTTAGTAATAACATAGCTATTTCTTTTAATATAAGTGCTTTATTACTTAGCTAGTTTTTTTTAGATAAGCCTAAAAGTACTTTTATACTAATAGCTATATATTTTTTAAATTTTTAGCTAGTTTTTATATATTTTTGCTAGTAAGCTACTTTTTTTATTTTACTAGAAATTTTTTTTAGTTTTTTTAATTACTTATAATATGTTTAATTTTATATTCTATCTCTCTATCCTTTTATTTTTATGTAGATAAGAGAATTTCCTTAAGTGCTTTTTTTAGTTTAGAGATGTAGAACTATAAGTAGATTTTTATGTATAGAAAAAGCTTAAGCTTATAGTTATCTTACTAGGTTTATAAAACTTTATATAGTTTTATTTTTTTTTCTGCTAGCTTTCTAGAGGGTTTAGGTATCTTAAGGTTTTTAGTGTTAAAATATATGTAATCTTCTAAATAAATTTTTAGTCTTAGTTATTATAATTTATTTACATACTTCTCTATTACTTCTCTGCTAGACCTAGCTTCTACAGCTAACTTTTTATGTATTTAGCGTAGGTTTTTTAGCTAATCTATTAACTTTTGTAGGTCTATAAGCTAATTTTTATGTAATGTAAAGTAAAGATTATAGCTAAAATTAGCTTTATATAGTGTTTTTTTATTATAGCTAACTCTACATTATTAATAGCTAACTGCGCTATTAAAAGCTATACTGCCTAATTATTTTAAGTATAAAAAATATACTTTTTTAGGTACTTTTTTACTTCTATGTTTACTTTTTTAGTCTAACTATCTGTTTATAGGTAGTAGGCTGTTAATAGCTTATATGTTATACTAAAGTGCTGTATTACTGCTTTTTAGAAACTACTAGTAAACAGCTTATCTTAGTTAGAGATAATAATTTTAGAGTATTTATATACTAATATAACATTTTATTTTAATTTATAAATAAATTTCTTAGCTGTTATTATTTTTTCTAAGGGCTAAGTATATAAGTACTTAGTAGTTTTATTAAGTGCTACTATAATTATGTTGCACATTCTTTCTATCTTTAGTTTTTTAGATAGGGGTAATTTTATAATAAAGTCTATTATAATTATTATTTATAGTAGTTTTAGTGCTTTAATTAGCTAAAAGTATCTATAGGCTTTATGCCTTTATAAATTATTTTTATTATAAGTATTACATTCTTTAAGTACTTTAGTGCATAGTTGCTTTATTTTTAGTATTTACTAAAAAATAGCAGCTCTTAGCTTTTTCTGTAGAGTGCCTATTCTTAGGTGTCTAAATATTAAGGATTTATAATATTTTTAAATTAGATTCTTTTATTCTTACTTACTAGCTATAAGCATATAGAATTTTTTTATAAGTTAAGGCCTGTTATAGATCTATCTTTTATTAGTCTTTTTAAAAAGTGTAAACTTTTTAGTTCTTTTTTTTATTTTATTAAAGTAGTTTAGTCTTTAGCTAAGAGTATTAGCCTGCTAATTCTAAGTTTCTAAAACATGCTTAATAATGCAGTTAAATTATGCAAGCTTTATTACTTATTTTATGTGCATTAGTAATAGCTTTTTTACTATTAAAAATGTAACTAGATTTACGTAGTCTATTATAATGTAGAAGAGTTTTGCTATTTTATATAGTTCTATAGCCTATACTCTTATAGTGTTTAGTATTACCTTTAGCTTTCCACTAGGTATGCTGTAACCTACTTTAGGTTCTAAGAACTTAGCAGAGTAGTACGCAACTAGGTGCTATTTTCTGTCTTCCTATTTCTAATAGAACGCAGCTCTGCTAGCTCCTAGAGATGCGTCTGTGTAGATCTTAGTATCTAACTGTAGGTTATATATTCTTAGCACTAGCTTAGCTATTATAGCTTGTTTTAACGCTAAAAATGCTTTATTTATTTCTAAAGTTTAAATAAATTTTGCTATTACTTACTCCTTAGTTATAGTGTTAGTTAATAGTATAGTAATTTTTAAATAGTTTCTAATTATTTGTTTAATGTAGCTTAATAATCTTAGAAATCCTTTTACTTTCTTAACTATTATAAGTTTTAGCTATTTAAGTACTTTTTATACTTTAGCTAAGTTAATTTTTTTTTTTTTATTAATTATAAATTCTAAGTATTTTATTTTAGTAACATAGAATTTACACTTAGAGAGTTGTAAGTAGAGTCTATACTTTTTAAGCTATTTTAAGACTTTTTATACTTTCTGTACATAGTCTTCTAGGGTATCTTTTAAATAGATAAGGATGTTATCTAGATATACTAAGGTGAAGACATTAAGGTATAAGTTAAGGGCTATGTTAATAATTTACTAGAATGTTGCTAGGGCATTTATTAGGCTAAACAGCATTACTAGTAGTTTATAGAGTCCTTATAAAGTTCTAAATGCTGTAAGCTACTTATCTTCTTTTTTTATTTTTATTTTATTAAATCTATCTTGTATGTTAAACTTTATAAAGTACTAGGTTTCTTTTAATTAGTTTATAATGTTTTATATAATTAGTAGAGGGAACTAATTTTAGATTATGTTGTTATTTAGGGTTTTATAGTTCTAATAGACTTAGATTTTTTTTTCTTTTTTTTTTATAAAAACTATAGCTAACGCTACTAGGCTATAGCTTTCTTAGATGTAGCCTTATACTAACATCTTATTAATGTATTTTTATAAGGCTTTTTTTTATATCTTTATTAAGAAGTAAAGCTTATAGGTCTTTAAATTATAATTTTTTATTAAGTTAATAGTGTAATTTTAAGGCTAATGTAGTAGTAGTTCTTCTAGGTCTTCTAGTGTTTTAAACATGTCCTTATAATTTTTATATTTAGCTAGAATGTAACCTTTATTTTAGGTTTAAATAACGCTAATTTATTTTACATCTTTATTTACTTTAATTTTTTTATAAGAGACTTTTTTAAGTTTTTTTTTTATTATTTTTATTACTTAAGCTTTTAGCTTTTAGTAAGAGATTTTTTAAAGTTTTCTTTTTTTAAAGTAGTAACTACTACTCTATTTTACTTATTTATAGACTAGGTATTAGTTATTATAGCATGCTAACTAGGTTATGTGTGCATAGTTGTTAGGAGTTTTTATAGTTATAGTTTTTTAATTAATTATAGGATTATAAGTTCTAAGCTAGTTATAGCCTAAAATTATGTTATATTTACCTTCTAGCTAGAGTATATTTATAAACCTTTAGTTTCTTATGTTAAGAGGTTTAAAATCTTTTTTATAAGTTTTTAAGTTAATTTATTCTTTACTATATTTAATTAATAATGTGTTAGTAAGAGTTACTTTAAATAAGTTTTTTTTTATTTAGAATAGTATGCTTTACTTATCTACTTA